ATTCATATTGTATGTTTGTTTAATTATATGATTCAAACTTCTTATAACAGGATATGTAATTGTGTAACAATGTTTAAGCAATCAACAAACTATATTATATGGTTCATTTTAAAATGTGTTTTTCAATAAATTTAAAGCAAACAGGATATTGATAGACAAAAAAGTTATGTTAAAAGATAGTTTATAAGATTATAACTGGTTGTATGAGGGAGAATGTATCAATAAAAGAATAAGTGGGTTGAAAATTGAGGAAAAACATACATTGAATAAGTTGTGGGTTAAAGAAAAAATGAAATTGGAGTATACATTATCAAGATAAATAAAAGACAGAATTTAAAATTAAGTTAAATTTGTTTAATAATAATTTTGTGATATATTGTTTTTATTATAAACATCAAATACTTACACTGAATGTCTTTTAAATATTTGTAATACTCCTGGCCCATTCCATCTTTGAACAGCTTGTAATTCTTCTAAACATGCACCAACAATTTGAACAAATCTAACTGATCCATGTGGTGTGACAGTAACCTGTAGTTGAGGATCTTCACCCATCAACATATGTTGTAAGCGGCTCTCACTACCATCCAAACCACAATGCCAAGATACATGATCACCGGCGTATAATGTATTTCCTATGAGATCAAAGTAATTATACTTATAAAGCTATTATAATAATTAAAATTTACAAGTGCTCTGATAATTGATACCATAAATACAAACTTAACAATGGCATAGGCTTATAATACAAAAGGGAAATACAGCTTCCAAAAATCCTGAATATATACACAGGGTCAATAATTAGCATTATATTAGAGTAATTGGTTGGTAACGAAATAAACCTTGGTCTAATATTATTGTTTATTAGAAATATATTCCACTAAGAAAATGTATTTATTATAAGAGAACATATCAATATATATTATACATAGTGATGCAGTAACATTATCATTAACATAGTTACTTGTAATTACGAAGGTGATATAATGCCTAAAAATAGAAATCATTCACAAGAACTGTATTTTACTGTAGAAACAGACGACTTATGTCATTAGAACACCACAAAAATATTTAGAGGTAGGAGAGATAATAAAATAACAAGATATACAAGACTCTAAAACACCCACATTTAGGAATAATTCACTAGAGCTAGAGCACGTACTTTAATACTAGTCAGAGTTTTAGTTTAATTATTTGAACTTGGAATAATTTTCAACAATAAAAACACTTAGAATATTTTTTTATTTAACTTATTAGAACTCCAAGCTACTTCCTTATTAATCAACTAGTTGTCAGTATAGGGACCTGTTAGAAATACATAACAATATTATTGATTGTGGTCAGTGACATAATTAGAAAATGTAATGATATTTTAATCTAGAAGCGAAAAAGAATCATTATAATATATAATAATGACTTGAGTAGCTATATTAAACTATACCAGTTCTAAAAACATATTTAGCAAGTGACTGCATCAAACGAGGAGGCCAAGTAGGAGGAGATGTTTCTGAAGAGTCTTTAAGAAGGCGAAATGTCAATTCAAAGCCAAATCCACTTGGTCCATCTGATCCATTAGTAGTATTATGAACACGATTATCACCATGCAAATCGGATAAACCAAAACTATAAAATTCCACCAAACAATTTTATTAATCTATAAAATACAATATGTATTTTTTACTTATGTCTAGTATTATTATATACAAAAACTAAATAATTATAATTACCTGATATAATGCCAATGTGGTGGAATTCCAATCATTCGATCACCTGGATTATTATACATACTAATATAGTCTAATGGATCTGGACCACCAAGCCTACAATTTATAAACAAATTATATTTTAATAGTGTGTTATTTAAAATTTATATTACTTCTATAGAAAAATTTAATAATAGTTTTTATTAAGCCTTTCTGGATATAAAAAATCATAGTAAATGTTTTAGCATAAAAATGCTAGTTATAAATACATTATTTAATAGTTATATTCAAAATATACACTCAATATTGTAATATTATTGCTAGAATAAAACAGCAAACATCCCAAGTATGACTGAAAAATTAACACAATATACAACTATGTACAGAGTGGCTGATAATACAAACATTTTTCCATAAGGCTAACACAGAAAAACAATTTAATCACCAAGGCTCACTTTAGAGTAAAAAAAACATCATTAATATTCTATAATATTTAATCATACTTTAATTTTTACACAAAATAATGTTAAAATAAATTTCTGACTTCTAAAGAAAAAACCTTAACTAGCACAGAATTTATTAATCATGGTAATAAAGGTAATAAAATACATGACATATCTTTTTTAGTTTTTTAGTTTTATAAACAATTATCATAACATTATCTAAAATAAACCCATTATTTATTTTTAATTAACAATATAAACATATAGAATAAAAAATAATGCATTTTAAAATTTTAACTTCTACATATATACTTTTTTTTTATTTAAAATATTTAATATGCAATAATAAATTACTCAAAAGAACATGTGTCAACCAAAAATAGATACAGACAGGAAATGATAATAAATATACCCAACCCTTACCCTACAAAAATTAGTTTTTCGTATATCCTATTTTTAGATAGGTACATTTTAAACTTTAATCTTGTATAAAATAACCTGAAGAAAAAGTCAACTATTTAAATTAGTAATAACATTAAACTAATCAAAATTACTAAGAAAATGTTAACATAGGCCATGTTTTTAAATATATTTTATTATATCATAAATATGAATCTGTGTTTATATTTTGTAGTTAAGCAGCTTAAACAAAAAAAAAAATTAAGCCATAATAAAAAAATAACTATAGATAAATGTTTATCTTGTAACAGACCTTGCCCTTACATTATACAAAAAAAGTAATCATTTTACATATAAAGCTAGGGCCCCCACATAAAGGGAAGAAAATTTGACCTAGGGTAGATTTGTAATTTTAGAATATACTTATCGAAATGATGTACTTATTTTAAATTAAATAATAATTTATGATATATATATTTTAAATTAAAAATATACAAACTGAATAGTCCAAGTCATTTAAGTAATACTGAATAAAAAAACACATTATAATTCTCAAAATGCTTTTTGTTCTTGATTTTTATTAATTTATGTTAAATTTTATCATCAAAAGTTTTATACAAGGTACAAAATTTAATATGGGACTTGTATATAGTAATACAATGGAAATCATGTAATAAATATATCACGACACTTATGAAACCACAATATTTTAACATTTTTATTAATTAAATTGCATTTTCCATTAATACTTCAATCACAAAAAGATATATAGATGATGCACACATAATATTATAATGACAAACTATTATAATTTAATGAAGATAAATCACTAGTGACAGCCATGCGTGTATACGTGATCAATTTTGGTAGATTCGAGCATATATAAAGGAGTCTTTTGCGGAACTTAGAAAATTAATTAAGTCTATTATTTGATATCTAAACCTGAATATTTTCATAACAATTTTTTTAAGAAAGTATTTACAACAGTCCTGTATGTGTATCTATAGTTTAAATTATTATAGGAACTAGTAGCATCTTAATGTATGTCAATTTCAATAGCTTAAAAATAATTAAGAAACAAATATTAAGACTAATTATAAATAAAAGTTACAAAATGAATAATATATAACTGCTTTCAGCTTTGTAATAGTTTCTTGCAATTTATCATCAAAGGATAAGTCAAATAATTATGGTTTACTAATATTACTTATTCATTAGTTAAATTTCTAATACATTTTTAAAAAGCTACTTCGTTGTAAGGTAAATTATAACTAAAAAAATATTATTACAATAAAAAAAAAGGGGAAAAATATATTTTGTTAGTAATATTTTACTATGACTATATCAAATAACTCACACACTGTTATATAATTTCTTACCAATACTTAATTACAGTTGTTGCTTGTAACGGATTACACTGATCAGGGTATATCCTTTTGCATAGCATGTAAAGTGAAGCAAGACCAGCTGGTGGTGTTTGTGATACATAAGGTACTTCAGTAATTGATCTTGGAGTATTCATACTAAGCGCTCCGTTCTGATGGTCAGATTCATCCATTTTCTTAGTTCAAAATACTAAAAATAATACAAAAAATAATTAAATAGTAGAAATAAATCTAATATTCTTTGAACAGGATGAATAATTCTTACCTATAACATTCTATAGATTAAGTTATTCGAATAACAATAGGTTATAATTGAAATATAACTAAATCAATATTAAGATACAGTTTTAACTAAGTCGTTAACTGATTTGGTACTATCAATATGAATAAAATTAACTCAAGAGGCCTGAAGACATAGATTGTCGTCAAACGATTTTCACATTAACATTCTACAATAATGTTCACACTACTCCGTGCACTAATGGTTACTGGTTTGGCAATAGAAGCCACTAACCAGCATTACATATACAATATAAGCACATTAACGACATTAACGTTAGTAGTTTAATGCTCGCTGTCTTTCTGAGTTTCAGACTGGCGAGTGGCGACTGGCGACGGCCGACTGGTATTTAGTATCAAACATTTTTTAAGAGATATGGTTATACAGAACGTGTCAAATATTAATTTTTAATTTTTAATTTTTTTGACAATATTTTAACACCTAGCACTTATATCAGAAAATAATCTAAAATATTACCTATAAACATTTATAAATCAAATAAAATTTACACGGGATATAATAGTATATATAATGATTGACTTCCTAAAACTCATTTATTCAGTCACTCTGTATTACAAAATACAAGGTATTCCATTCTCCTCGGTCGTCATTCTTGTTATTCACTGCTACCAATATCTACTAAATCAACAATATTGCTATAATTCTTACTATCTTTAAAAAATTTAAATAACTATTTATGTATATTGTTCAGCTTGGAATAAAATTTGTATTTTAAAAAATAATTTTTTCCTTAGCTTGGAATACTTTCAAAGTATACATTTATTTAATATAAATTATAATAAGAAATGCATGCACGCGTCTAAGCGTCCTTATCCTATACCTATCTTACATCCTTAAGCGTTATTTTACCTGTTGCATTGAGAGTGAAAGTGAAAGTGTGTATATGGCATAACAATTGTAGTACAACAGTTCAATATTAGTTCGTCAGTCATTAACAAACTGCACTATGAGCAATAAGTCAATTGTAATAATACTCTTAGTGTCAATACTGATAAACTTTTCCGACAGCGTTGTGAAACGATGTTTCAGTTGCCGTTCCCGTGGCGATTTAGGAAGCTGTAAGGATCGATTTAAATACACCAACCTCACACAGATCAGCTTAGAACCCGGTATTGGAGTGGAAGCTGTGCCTTGTGCCTCGGGATGGTGTGGGAAAATAATTGAGACACGAAATTCTGATGCCAAAGAACAAGAATTCGACACTGCTACACAAAGGACGTGTTTACAAAGAGGACCTTCAGACGGAGAAGAACGTTGCGATGATACTATGTGGGAGTATAAAAAAGTTTTCATGTGTTTTTGTCACGGTGATCTCTGTAATAATGCACCCACAGTTTCCAAAAGTTTTAACTTCTATACTTTAACGTTAACTCTTGTAATCCCTATCATATTTACTCAATTGCTCATTTGATAGGTATTTTAATAATAAATAAGTGATTTCCAAAACTAACTCGTAAAATATTTTAAAAAAATATTACGTGTAAATATTGTACCTATATTAATTTATATTTTACAAGATTAAATTTGTCTATATTTTGTTATTCATATTATGTTTAAATAAAAAACTTACTCTATGTTTTAAAATAATGTGGAAGTGGAAATATACTACCTATGTACAAAAATACTTATTATTTTTCAATACCTAAATAATAAATTGAACTTTCAATTTTAAAGTTTGCATTTAAATTTCAACTCTATATAAATTATATAATTAATTATTTTCAAACAGTTTTTTACCTATATTGATATTATGCTTAACACCATAATCAACCATCAGAAATCAGCCATTTGTTATTACTTATTAGATATCAAAATTTCAAAAAAAAATGAAATCTCCATTGTATTTTGTTATCATTATCCAGAAATGTATGTATCTATATTATAATAATATAATTAGTAATTAGACAAGTATTTGTATATAGATTCTTAAATAACTAAATAGGTAAATAAGTTCTAAAAAATAAAATAAAAATTATTGTTTACTTATTGCACACAAATAAATATAGATACTATTATATGACGTATAATGTTGTAGTAATTTTTACTAAGAGCCAACTTTTATGTACAACTTTTTTAAATTTTACCTTTTATAATATTACTACTTATTTTGTATTTAATTTATTTTATGTTTTGAAACAATATTGATTATTAGTAACAACTTATTACTTATTATAACTACTTCTACTTTACATATTTTTCTGATAATATCTATTATTAATTATTATAATAGGTACCTACCTAATGTATATATATATATTCACAACTATATAAGCTCTAGTAAGTAGTAGTAATATTATATATACTAATGTACTGTGAACTACCTATAGAGTTTATTCTATAGTGATTACTGATTAGTGTATAATTAAGTTAGGTAATGATTTACTGTTAGATTATACCCTATTATGAGAAAAATACATACTAAATAGTTGATACATACATTTTGGCATTTTGCAGACGTAATAAACATAACTTATCAAACAAAAGTAATATAGGTATATATATTTAAACTACAATAGTACGTAATTACTAATTGATCTAAATTAGTAGTTGATCTGTGTTAGCTGACAACCACAATTTAAGATATTTTAGATAGTGTTGAGGGCTAAGTTTAGTACCTATCTACTAATTCACAGCAAAAATAATAAATATAATTTAAGCATCTGCCAAGTTCAATTGTGTATCATTATCACGATTTAAAATATTTTACATAGATTAAATATTTAAGTAGACCTAACTTGACTGAATGATACATTTCAGTGATCTTAAGTCGTAATTGTAAACTCGTAATACCTACATTTTTATTTTAAAATAATGAATTGATGATTAAAGTATCATGACAAAATACATCCATTAATTAATTTTCAAATAAATTTATTTTCTAAGTTGATCAATATTTACCACGATTATGAAAACTAAAGATATCTTTAAACTAGTGGCGTTTTTAGCCCAAGCCTTGAGGCCCTTAATGGCCCAATGTATATCTAAGTTGGGAAGGAAACCAAAGACCTTTATCATTAGATCAAAAAAAGTATTTAAAATTATTTGGTTTAAAGTACGAATAAAAGTCCATAAAATAACTTTGTCAATTATCACTAGTCAATAATTTCATTTTTTGATTTTTGTGTTTAAGGGGAGCCTCTTCTACGAGAACTAGGGTCACCACGAATCATTTTCATACCATATTACTGCTCTTAATTCATACATATTATGGTCAATACTTAATAGTTAATAGTTATTCAGTATAAACATAATCTTTTGTTGTATTGTTTTTAACATGACAAAATGTATTTAATTATAGTCTTAAATAAATTCTGAAATAGTCGAAATTTAAAAATATGGACGTGATTTAAATATAAATTATGAAACTCTAAAATAAATAAATATAAATTGATTGATGCTAGTGGCTGCACTGGTAATATTTTTAAGTTATCTTATCATTTATTTAAGAATAATAATATTATCTCGCCGCTTATTTATATTTCTTGATCACACCACACATCACACCATGATCGGCATGATCTACCGATAGATTAAATTGTTAAAGGTATAATATATGATTATTTATTACTTAAATGTTGAACATTGTTTTCATTAATCATTAAGTAACTTTATTTTATTCGTGACACAACTCTGCAACTATCATGAATTTGGTGCCTGAGAAAAACAGCGATTTCAGTACAACGGAGTATTGGGATTCCTTTTTTACAAAACGTAAAACTACTTTCGAATGGTACGGTAATTATGAAAATTTAAAACGTTTACTCACCAAATACATTAGTGCTAAAGATGTCATATTGATGTCGGGATGTGGAAATTCTGATCTTAGTTTAAACCTATACTCGGATGGGTTCGTCAACATGACTAGTGTAGATAATAGTGAAGTTGTTATTGCCAATATGAATAAAAAACATAAAAACAAATACCCAGGACTAGTTTACGAAATTGAAGATATATTAAATACCAAGTATGCCAATGAAAAGTTTAGTGCCGTTATTGACAAAGGAACACTAGATGCTTTGATGCCAGATGGTGAAGTAGAATCTCTTACACGTGCAATGAAAATGTTTAACGAAATCAAAAGAATATTGAAATTTGGAGGACGATATATTTGTGTATCGCTTCTTCAGTACCATATTGCCCAGTTTTTATTTTCCTATTTCAGTGAAAATGGTTGGATAATTCGTGTGTGCCAATGCACAGAAGTTGAAGACTCGCCAGATTTCAATGGTCAACCAGTATTTATGGTTGTCTGCACTAAAGTAAATAAAATACCCGGAGCTAATCCAATTCTTGAGTGGAATCCAGATGGACTTACAAATGAAAGGTTAGATTCTATAAATGATCTTTTAGAAATTGTTATTGATACACAAAAATCTGTTTCAATGTGTTTTGATCTCACTAAATGTCAAATGGAAGACATGTCAAATAATTATCGATTTGAAATAAATTGTTCCCAAACAAAAAAACCTCGTTATACAATTATGATTGTTGAATCTCCTACACAAAAAAATCCAAATAAAATGACTTTTGCAGCATTCATTGTTCCTCATGGTCGAGAACACGAGTGGCTGTTTAGCAGCGAAGAAGGACAAGATATACTACGACGAAATTGTAATGTAGATCGCTTAGCTATTATTAGTATGCACCGAGGACAGATCTATAAAAATTTAAAACAAGTACAGCAAGAACTATCAAGACTTATGTTGAAAATAGCACCGCAAGGTGTCATAAAACGTGGTGAAACTATATTATTTTTATCATTAGAACAACAACTTGGAGACCGAAAAATCATTATGGAAAGCAAAAGTGAACATTCTGGAAATTTTGTGATAGAAGAAGTAATTGGGCAAAAAGACGAAACTTTTAGACGTTTAGTATTCCTTAACATGCCTCATATCATTCAATCAGAAACAAAATTATTGACTGAAAATGGTAAGACCAAAATTGATTATTCCCATTTCCTCAGCGATTACATACCATATTTGGGCCTTGGTGTGGGCGTTACAGCAAATCAATTAAATAAAGAATCTAAAATCCTTTTAATTGGTTTAGGTGGAGGTATACTTACTAATTTGTTGTTAAATACTTATAAAAATGTAAATATTGTTGCTTTAGAAATAGATCCAATTGTATATAAAATAGCCAAAGAAGCTTTTGGACTAATAGAGGACAGTAGATTAGAAGTGAACATTTGTGATGGTCTCGAGTATTTATGCAGTGCTGTCAAAAATAATGATAAATATGATGCAGTAGTGTATGATGTTGATGTTAAAGATCCAACATTGGGATTAAGTGGACCGCCAAAAACTTTTTTGAAACAAGATATACTGAATAACGTAAAAAGTTTAATTGGAGAAGAAGGTTTATTTTTATTAAATTTTGTCTGTCGGGCATCTGATGTTAAAGCTGAAATTTTAAATGTTATGAAGACTAATTTTAAACAACTAACATCATTAAAGATTGCTGAAGATATTAATAGAGTGTTGTTAGCAAGTAATAGTGATAAGACATTTGATATACACCTCTTGGAACAAACTGCTACATACATGAACGAATGCACCAAAAGTAATCCACTCATTGCTTGCGATGTGATTGATATTTCTGCATTGAAGGAAAGTATTGAAGATATTTAAAGTTCTAGTATTTTATAAATGCTTTATTTTTTCATACTCAATTTACTAAGTACTATTTAAGTTTATATAAATAATTTAATTTAGACACATTAAGTTTATGATATATTTGATTGTTACATTTTTGAAAGTTATTATTTTTATTTTATTTTTTTTATAAATATATAAAATAAGAACAATAGTTATTTATAAATATAAATATAATAAAAAAATTTCTTAAATATCACATTTGTTTTTAACAATAAACTTTGTTATGATATTATATTATTTGCTAAACCAATCTCATATTCTTTGAAGAATTGGACAAAATTTGTTGGGTTTTAAAAAATAATTTTTAAACACAAATATTTTTATTTTTATTCACTTATATTTTTTTTACATGAAATGTATAAAGAGTATGATATTTTTATTTTCTATTTAAAATATTGTCAAGAGTTAATATAATCTTGACCCATAAATTACACACACTTCACACAACACTAATATGTTTAATACATATTTTAAAGGTTTAATTCACCCTGTTCAAAACAAATATATTTAATAAATTATTGGAAGCACACTTTATGAAAATGAAATGTAATCAAGAAAAATCAATTTGAGAAATAAATTGTTTCATTAGTGTTTGTTTGAGCTTCTATTAGACAATTTGAGTCCAAATTTCCAAGAGTATTTGTGATTCTCTCAACCAATTTTTTTCTATACCTGTACACGGTGCGATCCACTGTAGAATCAGCAGTTACACAATCATTTCCTCCATACTCACAGACTCTATAATGATGAAGTATTGCATGCTCTGGTGTAAAATAAAATGTTCCATCACTAGGATTTAAAAACTCCCAGATAAAATGATTTCCCACTTCTACTACTCGTTGTGGATCACATATATATTTTGAACGTTGTTTATGTGGATGCAATTTAGTCTTACGCCGTGTTTTACGTAATACAACAAGATTTGAATGAAACGGATTCTGATCTAATGATAATGAGTCATCATCAGCCCATTGCATGTAGAAGAATGCATTACGAAATGAATATGCAGCCGGAGTTTGATAAACGTTTAACCAACTACAAATAGATCAAAAAATTAATTATTAGGCATTAGAAGTTTAAAGACTAACATACTTGATTAATTTGATTAATGTATCATTTTGTCTAGGAACAATAATTTCATCAATGTCTAAAAATGCCACGTATTTTGATTTGTACATATTTCTATATAAGCAATCATTAAGTGCAGCAAACATTCCTTCAGTTCTAATTTCTTCCTTGGACACCATATCTAATTGCCAAGGTAAAACCGAAACCAAATTGTCTTTTATGTAACGGTCCAAAACACATCCTACATTTGGCCCAACAGTGTTTTTATAAAATGTAAAATGTCCAATCCCAAGTAAATAATTTAGCTCAACAAATTCCATAAGTTGTATAGCCTTAAATTAAAAACAAATATAATAATTATTTAAAAGATATAACTTGAATAAATTTAAATGATGAAGTAATTACTCGATCATAATAATAATGCAATGGCTTAACACAAATTTCTATATCAGTCTTGAGTTGACTAATTGGTTTTGGCATTTGAATCAGTACTTCATTAGTAATTGATTCTTTAATATAGGACACAATAGATACACTTAACGGATAGTTTCCATCTGGTGGTAATTTGCACAATACAAATACTGCACTGTACTTTAGATTCCAGTTTTCACGGATTGCTTTCACTAATGCTGAAACAGTCTTAGAGCTATTTGCATACCATAATCTACACCAAACTTGATCTGGTTTCCGAGTTTTAGTGGCACCAATTATTCGTACCAGTGGACCATCAGATTTGATTCTTGTATCCAAGTATGCTGAATAAATGAAAAATTTGTACCTATTTTATAATAAAGACAAGTTAAAGTAAACATGTTAAAACTAAATGTCAAATAAATATAATACTTTGTTGATTGGACTTTTTGCCAAACTGCGTCTCTAGGAACAATTCCACTTCGATTGGGTAATGTACGTTCTATATGAGGTGGATGTATTATATAATGTTGTTTTGTAGGACTAAAATGGATCGGTTGTTTAAATTTTTGACTAGAATACTTGTCGTCCTGAAAATTAATGTGTAATATTATTGACCATTAAATATTTACATAGTAAATTTATGATTATTTGTAAAATTCACTTTGACGTTAACGCTGTTGGGTTTTTCATCAATGACGAAAAATACTACAAACAAGGCAAGTGCACCAGTGAGCAAGAGCAGCAACAGACGTACTCGAATTTTCATCATTGAATCACTCGGGTCGTACTACAATTGTAATGTCATACGAGTATTGATGACCACCATCGCGTTCTAGAGGAGGATATTATTTTTGAAATTTAATTATGGAAGCAGTAAACGCGATTCGCAGCACAAACTCGGCCAAAAGCCGGAGCCGAGAGACGACTGCGGTCTATGACACGCGCATACTTTTTTGATTTGCTCCATAAGAACGAAACGAAATCGACATTAAATCGTGCCCGCCTGGTGCGCGAACACCGACCAGCCACATCACCTGTATCACAAACTCCCAGCAATAGCAACAGCGCAGCGTTTACCGACGACCGTCATGACAACAGTCGTAGACGGAATTGCGACGACGGAAAACGATCTTTTCGTCATCGTTGCCATCGCAAACATTGGACGTATGTTGAACGTTCATATTTTGTTTCAGAAAATTTTTAATACTCAAATAATTCGTTTGCGGCGGGCGTGAAAAAAATCCGCTCTTGTTAATAATAAATATTTAAATTATACGATTATTTTGTCGTCTACCTCGCAAAACGACGTCAGGCTGTTATAATCACGAACACGTAACTACGATAGACTATTAACTGTTATGACTTATGATCTTAGGAAGATTATTGGATATGCGATTGACGATCGGACGATGATATTTAAATTTACATTATTTAGTATTTACAAAACATTATTATTAATAGGTTCCGCGAAGTTCGTGGCGGCGTATTTAGTATTTACCTAATTATTATGTGACTGATGCGTGTATCGGGGTCGTGCGAAATGATTTGATTCGCGTTTGCGCGGACAGACGGTGCGCATGTCCTGCAAATATTGCCCAGCCGGCAGAGCAGGCGCAACCCTCGTACAGTAATAATACATTAATAGTTAATACCCTACACTGCTACACACTCCAAGTCTGAAACCTCTGAACGTTAAATATACACAGGGATGGGGTTTGCTCTTGATAGAATCTGCGTAGCAAGTCAGTACTCAGTTGACAGAGACATCTGGCTAATTACTAATTAGTGGTTATCCGAGTATACTGATGGACGTCGACGTCCGACGACAGTTGGCTTTGTGTACATCGCCCATATGTTTTATTGATATATTCGCTCACCCCACCAGGATTTATTTATTTATTATTATTAAATTGTTGTCAATAATTTCCAGTTTAAAAATAATATGTTCAATATATATCGGCCTTATAGTTGTAAGTTGTAACGTTTAGTTATTATTCGTGAGTCATGACCCTTAAGTATAGTTTACGGACCTGGAGCATAATGCGATAGCACGCACGCGACACACCCAGACACCAAATGCTTATAGCACATATTTTGTACCACTAACATCTAGAGTGTAAATAAAAATAGGAATAACTAAATGTATAGTAGCATAGTCACAAATCTCAGGGTGGCCGAGGAGAATTAGTCCCTCCTCCCCAGTGACGGCACCATGTATTTTGGGGCCCTGGGAAATATTTTAGGTGGAGCCCTTGTTGATTATGGAAGCAGACGGTAAATACTAAATACTGACGCTTTGATCTTTTGTTTTATATAATAGCTGATAATCTTTAGACACATTTTAGATATCAGACAATTACCAGTTAACAATAGAGATTTATTTTATTATTCCTAATTGACAATTTACTTAAATAGATACAATTTATTAAATATTAATATATTATCAAAATTAAAACATTTTTATGATAATTAATATATTTTTGTTCATAATTATTTTGATTCTACTACTTATTAGTTTATAAAATGTATCTTTTTATAAAATATACATATACATATATGTATATATATAATAATATATATATTAGATTCCCAGTTAAGTATATTTTAAAATAATTAGTGATTGAATATAATTGGTTTTAAAAAATAATGAAGCTTGTATCGAAATAAATCATATGTAACAAAAAAAAAATTATTTTTATTTAACTTTTTAAAGTTATAAAATAAAAACAAAATAGTTAGCTACATAAAAAAAAAATATATATATATATATTTATATATTTATGTGTCAATGCGTGTAATGTATAAATTAAATTATACTAAAATAAATATAATTAAAGGATATTCGTACTTTATCTATTGTTATTGTTGATCGAACTGATCGAAGTGTGATGTATTCGTAATAGTATATTTTATAATGTACCTATAATAATTTATATTTTATAGCTTATAATTGGTATTTCAAGTACAAATATTAATTTTATTTTTTCTGTATGATTACCAACTATGCATATTGGCTACATTACTTATTTACAAAAATTTTTTCTTAAGTTACGTGCCATAAATTAATTTTTTCTCTGCGTGTCATAAAATTATGAAAAACAAATAATTAAACACGGGGCCTCCCTGATCACGGGGCCCGGATATTTGCACGGAATGTCCCCCCCCTAACACCGTCACTGCTCCTCCAAATGTTTTACTATTCCATAAACTACTAACAACTCAACATTTTTTTTTAAATTTAATTAAAGTACATTTTTTGTCTTAGCTTAGGGTTGCCATACGTCCCGGTTTGGCTGGGACAGTATCGGTTTTGAGTATGACGTCCCCGTGTCCCGATAATGCGTTTCGGGACAGCATATTGTCCCGGAATGAGACTTTAACTAATTATAAGTGTCTTTTATTAGACATTTAATGAAAAAAAGTAACAAGTAAGATCTGAGATAATTATGAACAAATATAAAAAGGTATAGTTTGCGTCGACCGTTATGATAATATTTTTAGTTATCGCTAAACGGATCAACCATTTATTATTTAATATTAATTATTATGTCAATTGTAGTGAACTAATCAGTTAGAGAGGTGTTGACCATAGTCTGTGTTTGCCGTACGGTATTTCGTGAAAACAGTGCGATATGACCCCAAAATGTCTGTGTAAATTTAACGAAACACTTCAAAGTGAATTTAAATTTATTAAAAAAGTTAAAGCAGATAACGACTATGACGTTTATTGTACAATTTGTTCAAGTTCGTTTTCGGTTAGCTATGGTGGACGATCTGACATAAATGATCATCTCAAAACAAAAAAACATAGAACATGCAAACATGCTACCAATAGCTCAGTACGTACATTTTTTACTCCATTAAAAGCAGAGGAAAATGCGTTAAAACTTGCGTTTAAAGAACTTACATTTGTTTACCATACAATTGTCCATAATCAAAGTTTCGACTCTATGACTTGTACTTCTGAATTAATCAGAAAAATGTTTGATAAAAAAAAAATTACTGCTGCCCGTATAAAAACTAGAGATATTGCAGTAAACGTTATTGCACCGTATCCTGTATAGTTAATGAAAGCCGAATTAGAAAAAGCTAAATTTGTTTTACTTCTTGTAGACGCATCAAATCATAAAGCTATTAAGTTAGTTCCTGTAATTGTTCGTTATTTTTCGACCACTGCAGGCGTAAAAAACAAAATTTTTGAATTTTCCAATTTACCTGGAGAAACTGCAGAATTAATACATAATCATATTATAAAAGTTATTTATAATTTTGATCTTAAAAACAAAATCATCAGTTTTTCTGCCGACAATACAAATACAAATTTTGGAGGAATTCTTAGACAGGATAAAAATAACGTTTTTATCAAGTTGAAAAAATCATTAGATTGTAATACACTTGGTATGGGATTTTTTGCACACATAATTCATAAAGCTATACAACAAGCTGCAGATTCACTCCCAATTGATGTCGAAAGCGTTGTTTGCAAAATATATGGATAAATATATGGACCCTGTTATTTCGTCTTTTCTATATTATTCTATTATCACTTGTGCTTATTGTAAACCTTTAAATTACAGATTATACAATTCTCTTGTTTAAAAAAAAAAACAAAAAAAAAAAAAAACATGGATACTTCATATCTATACTGTTCGTGTAGAAAGTCTAAAAGAGTTCTGTGATTTTGCAGATGTACAATATAAAGATTTGTTATCGTATTCCAAAACTAGGTGGCTTTCATTATATCCAGCTGTGAAGAATAGCATAACATATCACTCGAAGAACGTTGGTTATCACTGTTATCAGCATTTAAACATTTTAAAGAACTTAATATAGAATTTGATTGTCTATTAATAGTTGTTGAATTTTTTTCTCATTACCTGGTTCAAATGCAGCAGTGGAACGTGTGTTTTCATTAATGAATATTGAATAGCACATGGACAAAATCGCAAAATAAATTAGATATAAGCACCGTTGAAGTTTCGTTAATAATTAAAACAAGTTTTGATAACATGTCCTGTTGTCAATTTTATGAGTCAATACTTGCCAGTTGCCAACAAAACATTGCTTCAAAAAGTACATAGTTCAGCCAAGTATCAATATAACACAAACTTTTAAACCGACGGAGAACACATCGAACACAGATTAAAAATTGTGTATTTTATTATGTATTCTTTAATTTTTAAAGCATCAAATATAATGTGTATTAAAAATTATATTGTATAATCAGAAATCAATAAAAAATAAAAAAGTTTGTCCTGGTTTTTGTTAAATAAAATATGGTAACCCTATAATAATTATTACTACCTAGTACCTATAAAATCATTCGCTAATCAAAAATCAAGATGTCCATTTCTAAAATTAAAATGGTTAAATTGAGAATTGTCATGTAAAAATATTAATTATATCTGTTTTAATAATTTTAATGTACCTACTACCTTAATTTTCAAATAACGGTTTAAAATTTGATTTTTTAATGATGGTTCATAAAAAATGATCACTGTGGGCTTTTATTAAAATTTAATATTTATCCATTGACATTTTTCCTAAATAGGTTAACTAAAAACAAGAAAAAAATTCTAAAAATTCAAATGGATTAAGTATAATAAATTTAATATTTAGAATATTTTGGATGGTGTATTATAAGTTGTTTACCCATAATAGGAGCGGAAAATTTTTAATGCCTATAACTATAAAAAAGTTAAATCCACCTCTGCTTATGTAATGCTAATAATATACTATGAAGTATTCACTAATTATTTCTTATACAAGTATAAGCTATATTTTATTTTTCAAACATATGTTACATGATGATAGTTTAATATAATATACTCATACCCTTTACCCACACAAATTAAAAATACTTAAAATGTGTGGTAAGTAACTTTGTTGGTGGTTTGATTCTTAAACCATTTTTGATAATTACATGATATCTGTTAAGTATCATCTGTGAATTGAAAATTGCAAATAATTTTAGAATATTTTGTTTAGATCACTCATAATTACATAAATACATGGCCATACAACCATATATTCTCACATCACAGTAAGCTTAATGAGTATAAAATAAAAAACTAGATAAACAAGTACACACTATATCCCCTATAATATATCACTGAGTACAGATCAGTTAAGATAAGGGGAAATACAAACTAAGTGTATATGTGTATATATATTATATTGTATAGTCTATACAATAAAGTAACCTAAAATTAATGAAACAAATTTCTGAAAAATTGTGTTATCTGAACATTCTGAACATGGAAATTTAAAATTTATATTAAATCAAGTATATACATATATACATAATATTATATCATTTATAATCAATAGTAATCGGTATTCCATTGGTTAGTCCAACAAAAAGTAGCTATATTAATAACGACAAATATATTAATACATTATTACGAGTTTATTACCAATTTGATATTACTTTATAATGAGTTATTATCAGATAAAATTAAAAAGTAGATACAATATCATGACTTCTGACAATGGTCAATAAAAAAATGTATTTATGACCAGATATCAACATTTTATTTTTTTAGAAAAAAAAATCTACAATAATTATAATACTTTACTTTTAAACTATATAGATCATACAAAAAATATAATATGTATAGCAAAAAATTTAAATACTTCAAGTAAAACAGAAAAACATCTTAAAATGTTGCTAAAACAACTACAATTAAATAGTAGTATGATTTTGTTTAAAAATATGATTGACAATGTGTCAAAACAAAGTACACAAAATAGATGTGATAAGTACAAGTTATATTGACAAAAGAAAAATGACATTGGAATATATTAAGTGCCCAATGGGTTAATGGTGATTAGAACACTAAACATTTTTTTCTTTCAAATATCAAATTTCATTGTTCAATTGATTTTATTGTAAAGCTAAATGTGCAAAAAAAAAACTATTTGTCATGGCCCTATAAAAATTACTTATTAATTAAAAACAAAATTGACGTACTAATTTTATAACTTAGGCTGTAAGAATTTAAAAAAAGAAAAAAATCTTATTGATGATTTTTTCGTATCATTTAATAAAATGCTCTCTTAATAACTAATAAAAACAAATTGTTTTATTAAAAAGACTTAAATTGCACTATTTTTACAATATTAACACTTAAACATTAAAAAAAATTAATATCTTCACTACAATTATAGGCAAAGATCAACAAATTTAACAAGAAACAATTTTTTCACTGTACAATTTTTATATTTTAGGTATTCATAATTTAATATTCTATAATTTAAAAAAAAAAATAAAATAAAAATAGTCCTCTAATCTATAAAATTGTATATTCTGATTGAAAATGTAAATTACATTTCTATCATTAACAAATAATAATTAAATAAAACAAAAACATAAATAAATAAAGAGAATAATAATTATGAAATGTATAATAAATAATCTATTTTTTTTCTAAAAATGGTATTAATTATTAATATTGTAATTTGATTAGAACACAATAACAGCAATATGGCAAAACATGTAGTATAATTAAATGTATTTACAGTAAAATTGTATGTATTTATATTTTTTTCTAATTTAAATTACATTGTAAAAAAAGTCTGTAAATACGAATACTGTGACTAAAAACATAGAATATCAAGAAAAAAAAGCATAGTACCAAATATCTTTAAAATTACATTATAATTGTTAAATTAGTTTTAAAAAATTAATTACGAAAATACTAGTATAGTAGTTTAAAATAAAAATAGGTAACACTCTTACACAGGAAAAATAAAAAATAATTAATTAAGACATAATATTGTCAAATGAGATGTGTAAATAATCAAAATAAATAAAAAAAACTTTTCAGAAATAAATAATATGTCTTGAGCGAATTCCACTTTATGTTAAAAATTTAGTAGTAAATTGAGATCTACAAAATATATGTTGGGAAAACATGTATTATGTAAATGCTTTTTGAAAATTTGAATGACTATACATTTCTAACAGTTTTGTTATTAATTATTACCATTATTTTAATAAAAAAGTGAAGGAAAATGAAACAATAATTTAAAAAAAAAAGTTAAATTTAGAATTACAACAATAATCATACATAAATAATGTACATTAATATTGATAATATGCATCTTCAAATATTAATAAGCATTAATGTCTAAATTACTGTTGGTATTTGATGACTATATACTCCAAGGCACTTTTACTTAGTTAAAACTATTATGGGATTAACTAAAACTAACACAAAAAATAATTTCAAAAGAAAACCAATGTAAAAACAATACATTAGTTCTTCTAAAGCATATACTGATGAATAATACTTAAGTAGAACAAAACAACTATTTTTTTTATTTTTTTATTTAAAAATTGACATTATTTCCAATTCACCTACGCATCGCACTGCAGAAATTATAAAATGATAAAATGAGGAAGCCAAATTTTTTTGAATATCTTAACGAATTATCACATGAATGACTATATTATAATATATAGTTAATAATTATTATATATAGATATATAAATTGGTTTTAAAAATCTAATAATTTTATCAATAACAATATAACTATAATAATTAAGAAAGAGGTTTTAAAAACAATAAATATTATAATATAGTTATTTTAAAAACAGGACAGACAGCGTTTATAAATAAATCACATGGACTTTTTTACTTTTTTTTTTTTTTTTTTTTTTTAGGCAGGAAAAGGAAATAAAAATTAAATAAATCAAACGAATAAATGTTGTTTTCGTACACTATTCCAGTCTTTACAAGCCGAAGAACTAGTATGTATTGAGTGACTGCTCTGCCGGATGTACCCGTCAAAAAATTGCTCTGTAAATTATTTAAATAAACCAATTTAATATATTAAATATAGATATATTTATTAACATTTTTGCTAAATTTTGTTATTTTCTAATCTTATTTTTGGTCAAAAATTATTACTATCACTGATCATAAATGTATATATGTATATTATATGTATGTAAAGATACGCTTTCATATGTGCATCAAATGCCAGGAACACCACATAAGTGATATACAATGTTAGCAATATACCCTCCGGCAATCATGATCATTGTCTGGGTGCACCTAAGAGTATTTTTTATGAACATAATACCCATGTCTGCAAGATAAGAGGGAGAATTATTGAGTGGTTTTTACCTATATCTTAAATATTAATTTCAGGCAGACAATTATTGAGAGACGCATGTAAACAGATTCAGTATATATGCAATTAAAAAAAAAACCAAAGAAAAAAATGTAACAATTTTAAGAATATGTATTAATTTGAATACAGTTTATTAATTAGTAACCATTACATGAGATTGTACTACATGTCATTAAAAAGTTAAATAATAATTAATTTGCAACAAAATATTCATTTTTACTATGGAATAAACACTAGTTATATTCAGCATGACCACACTTAGAGAATACTTATAAATAAAATTAATTTAGCACAAAATAGTAGCTTTCTTATATAACCACTTATTATTATAAATAATTACAAACATATAATTTATAAATTTATGTATTACACTATACATAAATTAAGTATTTCTACAGTGTAAATACACTTAAAATTGTAACTAACATTAAGTCACACAATAATAAACTATGAACATTAAATTAAATAAATTATTTAATATGGTAAAAAATATTGATGATAAAGATAAAAAGAATCCTTTCTATTTTAATCAAGTATAATTAATTTTTTTTTCTTATTTTCAAAATTATATACCTTGTTTAAACTTAAGCGTTTTCATTTTTTTTTTTCCATATATTATTCTAATTAAAAATCTAAAAAATTATAGATTTTTATAATAATTGACATTTATATAATACATATTATTAATAATAACAACTTAACATAGTAAGTAAATTATATATTTTAAGTAATTTATTTTACATAGAATTATTAAATTCTAAAAACTTTGATTTACCTATGCTTACTTATTTTCACGAAGATATAAGTTTAGGGGAACTTGGGAAGAAAACTCATCACAAATCCTCCAAGAATAACAATGAGAATTGTCAAGCATATCAGGATCATGATTTTCTTCTAATTATTTAACAACAAAAATTATATATTAGTATGAAAATAACAATAATAAATAAAATATACAAAAATATGTTCTAAATAAAAAAATGATGGGGAAGCTAATAGCATAAGCAAAGAAAACAGTGTTTACACAAACAAACAGTGCATTATTCAATATTCAATACTTTTGGTACTGCAAAATCAACTATTACTAATAAAAAATAATAACTAAATTTTCCTTTATATTTCTTGAAAACAATTAAGTTAAATTTAATTATCAAATAATAATATACTACAAACACAAACACAATTGACTTGCCTTTTATTTAACTGTAACATGATGTTATTTTGTATAACATATTGAACACAAAATAACATATTAAAAAAATGATATTCCTAGATTACTATTACCAAATATAATTTATTAAATAAAACGATGATATATATCTGATAATTTGTTATATAATATTAATAATTCAAAATTCAGTTATCTTTTATTTTGGAAAGATATATATTGTTTATATACTCTTTTTTTTTGATAAAAATTAATAACTTACTTTTTGGGATCCTTTATAATAATCTTCAGCAACATCCAGTTCTTTTTTGCCTTCAGCAACTTTTTCAACAGTGAATGATACATGGTATTCTATTCTATTAATAAGTTCACCCTAAATGTTTTTTTTTTTTTTGTTGGATAAAGTTTTCAGTAGGAACAAGATTGGAATAAGGAATTATAATTTGAAAATCCCAAAATTATTTATGTAATAAAAACAAAAATAAATGAAACATTTTGAAAAGGAAAAAAAAAACAAAACAAAACAATCTTTAGTAATAATAAATTAATGGCAACCTCAGTTAATATTATATCACTAAAAACTAATAATATTTAATTCTTCTAAATACAAACAATTATCAAATAAATAATAAAACCTACAAAAACAAACAAATGCATTCAGCAAAGCGAGTGGGGCCATTGCAAACTTCTACGCCTTTTGACTTACTCTTCTCGCTTTGCTTTGATATTTTAACGCTTTCTTAGTATCTTGAGTTGCCGTCTGTACATAATCCACGGCGTGTTCAACATGATACTCAATTCGATCAATCATTTCGCCCTAGTTTCGTTTTTAATTTATAAATTAATAGAAAATTAATTTTATTTCATATTATATTGAAATATGGTTATATCAAAAAAACTATGTATGCAAATAAAAACAATAACTTGATTGCAATTATTTATTTTATTTATTTTCAATTGTTAAGAATACCTATAATTTTAAAATTAAATAATTTAAGTAAATTAAATCAAATTTAAGGTACTAAAGTTTTATTTTTGTACTTAATACTTAGTTTTTTTTAATTGGTAGAAGGCTATATAGCTATTCAAACAAAAAAATTAATAAAACATGCATTTATGAAGAAAAAAACAATAATTAGATGTATTGAAAATTAACTTAACAATTTCTTATGTATGTTTAATATTTTTACAGATTTTAGGTATAAATATAGATTATGCTATATAAAAAGATAAATCAAACTGTGTTAAGTTTGACGACTACATTTTTAACTTAAAAGGCACTACAAAATGTAATCACTGACATTAGGAATGCTCTTTAAAAATATAATGATATGGTTTCATTATATTTTTATTAGTTATAATATTTGCAAAGAATGAGAAAAAAGATTATATAAGAGATATTATTGCTAAACTTAACACAACTATATCATTTATAATGCGAGATTAAATAATTTCTAATTTGGATCTTTATTAAATTTCATTACTATCATAAATAATTAACTTAATTAATTATTTCTTTAAAATTCAATATTATACATAGTAACCACATATAATTTTTTGGAAATATTGATTATTAAAGAGCTAAAAATTGTTATTTTAAGAAAATTCACAATATTTTTTTATGAAATGCTAAGATTATATACCAACATATTTGAATTCTATAAAATTATTGATTTTTAAATGACACAATGTAATCAATCAAAATTTTATATTTTAAGAAGGACTGAAATATTTTAAAAGTTATCTCTATAAAAAAAGCCACATTAAATAACATTAATTGGTACACACCCGCTCACAACACACCAACCCATACTATTTTATCCAATAAAACTTATTCACCAAAACAAATTTTTTCCAAAAGTAGAAAATTAAAACAACTTATTTTGAATAACAATACAAAAACCAATGTACCAATAAACCATAATAAATACATAAAAAATTCACCAACACATCATAAGGTTAGTACCTCTGATTTGTGTTTGGTGCCATAATCTAGGATAGATAACTCTAATAGAAAATATTTTATACAACTTTAAAATAGTACTTTTATCCAAAAATTGTTAACAGACAAAAAACCACACATTTTAAATCCGACAAAAGTTTTCCAGCTCTATTCAGTATCTGATTACAAATTAAATTATAAACCATTATACAATATTTAAAATACATACCTGATTTTCTACCAACATTGCCATATCCATGAACATATCATGAAGTTCTCTGATCGAGTTTTCCAGTTTTATAATATCAGCATGCCTAGCTTCAATATCAGCCAATGTTTGCCTAGCTTGTTGTGTTTCCATAATTATCTAAAAAAAAATCATATTAAAAAAAAAAAAAAAAAAAAAAATTATATTTTTATAATTACGCCTTGTGTAAATACAGCCGGGTTCCCTTGTTCTAACATTTCTTCAAGTTCATCATTAGTAGTTGTTCTTCCCGCTAAAATATAACATTGAATTAATACAAAATAAACTAATAGTAATTCATGAAAGCATTGTAAAAGTATTTATGAATAAATAAAAAAAATTGTACAAGCTTATAATTTTTGTAAGAACTTATGAGATACCTTATATAAAATTTGATATGATATTGAATATTCTTAATACATTGTTCTTTTAGCAATTTGAAAATATCAAAATTTATACTCTAACACAAGAAAATGATATCTAACTGTTATTGGTACAACTTATTAAGGATATCATACCTAATCTTCAAGTTTTTAATTAAGTTTAAGATAATTTATTAAAACTTGATTCAAAAATTTAAAATGCCATACAATTATTAGACTTAAATATCTTGAAAATATTAATTATTATTAAATTAATTATGTATAGCCTATATAGAAAATTATATTTTTAGTAATAGTGTAATGTCTTAAGGTTTTACAATAAATATTTGTTATATAATATAATAACATCATAACAAAAATTAGTTGAAAATAAATCATTATTTTACGTTTGAATAATCATTACCAAAATTTGAACTTCCATCACTCGTAAAAAAGGTAGACATCTAACTTTAATCTAAACTTCTTTTTAGTTTTAAATCAAATAAATATATGAGAAATATTTACTGAATATTCAAGCCTTAGTATTAAAATTTAATAAAAATAATTTAAAAAACATACTTAAATAATTTTAAAACTAATACATTTATCACTGCTCAGAATCTAAAATATAGTATAAACTTACTTATTTCTAATTGCCTTTGAATTCGACCTTTACAACGTTCTCTATAATCTGTCTGTGTACGGTTATATTCTGTCATCACTTCAACAAATTTACGTGACAATGTTGAATGTTGTGTTTTGCGTATTCTTAAATCTGCTGATGATTTGTTCAATTGCTCTTCTGCTTCTATATTCTGTTCAATTTCTAATAAAAAAAATATATATACTTAATATTTACATCATAACAAAAAAAAATATTACTGAATAAAAGAAAATTAACCTTTGAGTTTGGCACGGACTCTATTAGCAGTTTTTTTGATATCCACCATAAGATCTTCCAGTTCTTGTTTCACTTCTAATAAAACAATTTTTGTTAATACAATTACTCAGAAATATGACTAAATAGTACAAAATAAATAGTAAATAAAATTATTAGAAAATGAACTTTAATATAGTTTTAAAATCATATAATTAAATATTTTTGGTTTTAAGTAATTAATTCATTTTTAGAATGCAAATTATCATTAAACAATAATTTTGCTTGAAAATCATTCACAATAAAAATTGTATTTTGAACATTTTAAGGATAAGAATTAGAACTACTTTTACAATTTTAAGTAGTAACTAAAAAATCAGGTATGAATTCTGGATCATAATTGGGAGAGGAGTGGGTTAAGGATCAACACTCGCCTTTCAAATTGTAATCAGACTTAATTGACAATATTTGTTCTAAGTTTATAATTTTAATTTCTTATCTATAACCATAAGGGGAACTAATTATATTAAAATATAAAGTTCTTAAATTATCAAATTCTAGAAAAAAAGGGCTCAAATTACATCAACATATTATAATAAATTATAATAAAATTTTTCTAACAAAAAAGCAAGAAAGAATTAATATTTTTGAAATGATCACTTCTGTTTTAATAATTATTGTTAATTATTCAATTTTTAAATTGTTCATGCATATTCTTTATATACCATGAACTAAGTAAATTTCATTAATAAGCTATTTTTTTAAATTTAAAATTTGTATAGTTAAAGAAAAAATACTTAGTAGTTATGTGAATAATAATTATTTTTATAAACAAGGAACCCCAAATTTTTATATTGTTCAAATCGTGGTAGACTTAGATTCAGCAATGTTGATAACTGTTATGAAATGTCAGCATGTGTAATTTTAATTTAGAGAAGGTAATTTATTCTCCAGATAATATTTAAAATGTGTTTGAAAATCCACACAAATTTGTAAAACATAAATAATTTAGTTTAAAGCATGATCCAACTTTTTTTTTAAAAACATGTATTAAAATAATGTAATGAAAACACTCTGACACTTAAAACATAAAAACAATTAATGCTCATTACTTAATTCTGAATAAAACTAATTTACTTATGAATAATAATATTTACTTATTTAATAATAAACAATAATGCATACATTATTTATTTTAAGAAACAGTTCTTTTCAATAAGTATGTAGTAGAAATTTGTAATTTTTACTAGTTAAATATAAATTAATATTAATATTTTTAAGGACATTCTCCTTTAATAACATATTTAGTATTTTCAAAAATTAAATAATTTCATACTATATAAGCTCTACAGTAATACCTCTATTTAACAAACTATAAAATATTCATTCAAAAATGTTTCTATTTAAGGAATTAATTGTGTTATTTTTCTACTGCAAATTTAAAAACTATCGTGTTATTACATTTTTATAAAATACATACTCGTCAAATGGACTTATTAGAATAAAAGCAAGCATTTCAATAGTCAGAAATCATTATAGTACAAAATTTGTTCAACAAAATATCAGAATGTTCTTCGATAACCAACAATAAAAAAAAATTATAATTTAAATGTATATTTTACTTTATTTTTTTAATATTATATATTACTATTTCCATATATTTCTACACCAATAATAAGTTTTTACATGAAAAAAATTGTATTTTGTTTTAGCAAAATATTTATTTAACGATATTAACAAAAAAAAAAAAAAACAGGTTTCATTCTATTTAAATCAAGTACCGACGTACCGTTCAATAACGAAGTAATACCGTTTACTATAAGTTGACGCCTTTGAAGATTTTTTTTTTTTGTATGCCGGTTAATGGCTTAAATAATACAATTAATTATCTTACCAAGATTTTTTATTATTCTAGAATCACAATTTTTATGTTATGTACCGTATTACAATATACCATTCCATACCAATACTGACTACAGATTCTAATATCGCAATAATGGCGTCTGATTTCAATAGTCTTGTATTTAAAATCTATTTTTAGGCTGACGCATAAAATGAATAATTTTTACCTACTAGTATTTTACTCGCTAGCATTTATAATAATTGAGAAATATATACGTAATATATATTGTATATTCTATATACAATATAATATATTACGGGTAATGTTAACATTTGGATAACGTGGACGTTACTATTAATTTTTATGTTAAAAACTAAGTTAATAAAAAAAAATCGTTATTTTTAAATAATAAAATTGAAACTGTCTCATCTGCTTAAACGTGTATTCTTCGAAAATAATAATTATATATTTTCAAATGTTCTAACACGTTTTATGTTTATAACTATACATATTACATTGTTAATACCTAAATTTGAAATTTATAACATAATATACAATTAATGTATACCTAACCTAACATTTCATCACTATTTTTTTTTTAATATCTTATATTCACATAAAAATTAAGTTTCCAATTTTAATCAATCATACCTAATATCATCAAAAAGAAAATAACAAATTCTATGTTAGGAAAATCATGAAATTATAAATAATACGAATACAGGACAAACTAAGCATAAAATGATTTTTAAATCATGGCTAGAAATAAAAACTATTAATATAGTATAGAACTTATTAAATAATGTGCATTGAGTTGTCAAGGTGACTGACTGTATTAGGAAAAAGGTAGTAACGGTAGAAAAAAGTAGGTTCGGAGTTTTGGAGTTGGGTAATATATCGATTAAAATCAGTGTAAAGGCAAGAGACGCAGTACATTGCAACGTACATCAAAAATTACCAGAAAAGTATACGATTATGTTAATACTTTTACTCTCTTTAAGATTTAAAATTAAAATTATAATTGTACAGTCAATTTAACATAATTAAAAAAACAAATTAAATACCAGATAGAATAAGTGTAACCATGATTAAATCATAACCATGCGTCATATTTCGAAGTAATCAATTATTTATTACACAAGGTGTATCTTGTTGTTCACGTGTTTTTTTAATGATTATATTAAATTTCAAAAAACGATAAATTTTTTTATCTTTATAATAATTTTTATATTTTTAAGCATACAGTTGTACCAGCAACATTTTTAAGTATAAGAATTACAAACTAAAATTATGAAATTCGAACCTAACCTCTCAAAATCTAAAAGTAAAACTACTCTAAAAAAATATTTGCATCTTATATTATCGAGTATCCATTATATAATGCGAAAAAATTTCAAAACCAACTTTCTAGTACTAATTTTATACTGCGTTTCTGCATTGATAATCTACTTAAAATATAGTAATCACACACTATTCCAAGTTATCCAATGTATCTATATATCACCTACGAGTTAAATATATCTAATTTTTTGTATTACGTGCAAAACAATGAAGATAATTATTATAGTTTATTAAAATTATAATATAATTTTTTTTTTTTAAATCAATAGCTCAAATAAAAAACAAACAAAATTTGACTATTAGTTTTAACATAAGCATTTAGATCTTTTAAGAATCTAAGTTATAGTCAGTAATCTAATGATTTTATTACTTTTTTATTTTTCACAAAAATTGTATTTTTTCTAATATTATCTTAACATATTTTATTTTTAATACATAATCAAATTATCTACATTTGAAGATCAAGTATTTTTAAATTTTTTGAATAGTGATTTTAATAGGTAACTAAGCTATAAATTGTGAAGCATCCTTGAGTTTGAAATCAACCCACAATGAGAGACTTAACATATCGATGTCATCATATTTTCTATTAAAAAAAAAAAAAAACAAAAAATAATGCTTACTATAGCTAAAATGTATACAATTTTTGACATCAGAATACAAATTATATATAATATTTTTTTTTTATTACTATATATTGTATACAATTCTCTCTATTTGTACCAATTATTTATATACATATGTCTCCACAACAACTTTTTAATGCATAAAAATATATTTTTTTAAATTACTAATCAAACAGAAAATAATTTCTGATAAATGCTTATAAAAATATAAACATAAGTTACACAACAACCACGCAGTTTATAAATTAGTTACGATATTAAAATGAGTAAAATTAAATAATTTAAAAATCAAATTAAATATACACTTATCAGTTCTTTTTATTATACAAAATAATAGAAGTTATTAAAAATTTCTAATACGATGAAAGTGTAGAAAATCTAAATTTTTTAACCCAGCATTAACAAAATACCAGTAATGACAGTATTGCGTTTTTTCTGATCCCAACCAATTTTCTATATTTTAAGTATTAAGTTTTTTCTGTAGTTATAAATCTAATTCGTTTAACAAATGCCATTAGTTCAAATTGGTGGGGAACAGGAAAAGTTAATTGGTTAGATCAGCGTTTCACAAACTGTGGGTCGCGACCCACTGTTGGGTCGTCGGTCAATTTTTGGTGGGTCGCGAACAGTTTTTTAAATTATACAGATTCCAAGAAATATATGTTAAATTAATGTTAAACAGATTATAATTAATTCAAGTACATTTGTAAAAATATATTGATTATAAATCTATACATTAATAAAAATAATAATTTAAACCTAATAAACAAATTTTGTTAAAAAAATTGAAATATATTATATTATATTATTTTTAATTAATTTTTTTTTTATTTAGCTACTTTTTGAAAAGTGAAATCATGTGAGTCATTAAAGATTTTTCGGGGGAAAATTTGGGTCGCGGTACTAAAAAGATTAAGAATCGCTGGGTTAGATAATTAATAGGCAATAGCCATATTATGCATAATGCATACTATAATTTTGAACTTTAAGAATCGCAGACTAACTCATATAAGAAGAAAAACTAATTTTTAAACACATAAATACCATACATTTCTCTTTATATCCAAAATTTAATTAGAAAATGAGTATTATATTCCAACTTGAGCGTAATTAATAAATACCTATCAATATGCTAAATTTAACATTTGATTTGTTGAATACTTTTATTTCAATACTACTATTTGGTGAATATACTTTGCATTACAAATATAACTAAAGCTGATATCTATAAATATCACAGATTACACTTGTAAATTACATTACATTTATTTTTAACACGGATTAAGATA